TGTCTGTCTCTGTCTGTCTCTGTCTGTCTCTGTCTGTCTCTGTCTGTGTCTGTCTGTGTCTGTCTGTGTCTGTCTGTGTCTGTCTGTCTGTCTGTCTCTATCTATCTATCTATCTATCTGGTTAATCGACTGTTGTACTGAGGCATTTGGAACGGTCAAACAAGCCATCCTCCTTGATGATGATGATGCTGCGAGACTTGCGCGATGGAAAGCCTGTCAAGGAAAGCTTTGAGGGCCGCTTTTTGCATATTATCCAGTGACGATACCAAGAATAAAGAACTGACAGGGTTCGCCAACCGGCGATGCCCTGGGGGGGACTGCGCGTATCCGCAGACTCTCTGCACAGCAAAATCCGACGATTAGCACATTGCAAAGTCCTGATTTTGAAGAAGCCATATAAGCCTAGGTGGTGCTAGAAATGTCGGCCGCAAACCGACATGTTGAACATCACGTATGCATTTACTTGAAAAAATGTCAAAAGCAGAGCAAAAAGGATCAAAAATGGCGACTGCAAAGCAAAGGGGAGAGGGTGTGACACGGCAGCTTCGAAACCCAGGAAAAAAAACTAGCCCACAGCCAGAGGAGTAGAAGGCGCCCCCATGCGACAGCCTTGGCCCATATCGTGCTGCGCCCAAAAGCGGCCAGCCCACAGCCACAGCCTTAGCCCACAGCCAAATCCACTGAGAGACAGCAAACAACCGCCCATGCTAGGTCCCAGTTAAGAACGGTTGGGCTGGGCAAAGGTAATGTTGGAACCCATCTAGTTAAGAATGGCTAAGCTAAGCTGGGCAAAGGTGATAGTTCCACCCTGCGGTGTCCCGGGCGCCGCCCGGCTTAGGAAAAGCTTAGCCGGGGTCGGCGGATTTGTTTGTGTCATGTCTATGTCCTAATGCAGGATCCTGCGTACGCCGCTGCCATTGGGAGCAAGGCAGGTCATCCTGGTAATGATTGCAAGCGAAAGTAGTTGAAAGTGGGACATGTTTCAATTCAGAAATTGATTGCAACGCATGGTCAGTTCTGCAATCTAAAATCACTCAAACAGACAGTAGAGCTCATTTGGCGCAGTGGCACCTGTTCTTGTCACTCATTGGAACAAACATGCTTTCGTTCCATCTCCCCAGGTACATGAACGAGAACTTCGAGATTCTGCCAAGGATTCCTCGTGCGTTTTGACAGTTTTCGTGCATGTAATCAACTAGTGGCGCGCAATGAGTGAAGCCTTGTTACTAAAAATGCGTCTCGCAACCGCAGAAACATGTTTTTTTGTGCTTGGGATTGAGATGATTGAGTCTTTGCGTTGAAGGTTGCAACAATGCTTGTGCTTTGCACTTTCTCAGTCTTAGTTCTTCGAACAGTAGCAAAGCAGATTTGCACTGTCAGGCCCGCGATAGAAGTCGTAGTCGAAATAGAGGTGGGAGAGATGAAGCAAGAGGTGGCCGACATGACAGGCACGTGGAATCACGTGGATGTGTTGAACCCTTTCATTGGCATCCTCAGAGCATTAAGACGACCCGACAGGGACCGTGGTGATCGAGATAGACGCGATCGCGACCGAGGCTTTGGACATCATTTGCACTCTCAAAGATAACATTGGGTTATGGGATACTTTTTGCAAGAAACGCGTATTGAAATTGCTCAGCTGCGGATCCAGGCTGGACTCAGTAATGTACTAGCTCAAGAAAACATCAACCTTAGACGTCTAGTGAAACTACTGATGTTCAACTTGCTCCGATTTTTTGCATCATCGCAGCATCGTGGTCCATCTTGGTGTGCCATTAGAGTTGCTTCCCCGACAAAGGGATGCGCAATTTAGGGCCCACAGGCACATGTTTGTTTGCTGCATGGTCTAGGTATGTGCGCAATCGGTATTGCGATACACAGGCTTTTCTGAGTCATTCTATTTTTTGCTCTCCACAAGTTGTAAGCGCAGGCGATCGTGACCGGGATCGTGATCGTCGAGGGGATCGGGTGCCTTGGCCACTGTCAATTGCACGGCTGTTGTCAGTTGCACGGCCTCTAAAGAGGAAGGTCCTAGATCCACAGTGGTAGTTTTTGGATACTTGGATACAACATATCAGGATCCAGAACAGGGCTGGAAGGAATGTCAAATGCCCTTGGTTTCTAGGACAGAGGCGGAGACCGTGAGAGAGGTGCAGAACGAGGTCCTCCGCCGAGTCACAGTTTTGTGGACTTAATTCAATTCATGTCAAGCGCAAATTTCATCATGTCAAGTTTCTGAAATGTGGAGATTGTTGCAACACTGCTCCAGGTGGTGGCCGGCAGCATGAATAAAATGGATGCATTGGAATATTGATATCCTTAACGAATTGAATGAATCCAATGGAAAATATATAAACCATATTCAAATTCATATATATATATATTCATTATATTAGAGATATTAATGGAATATTATGGATATAAAATATATTTTAATTAATGTATTAAAGTATAATGTATATATATAAATTAAAAATAAATATGTATAATATATTGATGAGATGAATATAATTAATATTCAATATATTTTAAAATTTAATCGATAAATCGGGAAGGATCGTCGAAAAGGATTTGCCGAAAAGGATTAAGAGGATTTTCCGAAATAGAATAAAGGGACGATTGTCGAGAAGGATTTTTCGAGAGGTCGAATATAGAATTTAATGGGGGGAAATGATTTTTGAATGCATAAAAACAATGAAAATGGGAATTGGATATATGAATAATGAAATGAATGGTGGATAATGGATTATTGGCATTGGGATAGGTTTTGGATATTATTTGGATAATAAATATTTAATAATCGAATGGAAATAGAATAGAATATATTATAACGATATATAAAATATTAATATTTAGGATAATTTGGGTATGATATTATTTTTTGTTGGAAGGTTTGATCGAATTTGATTAATTTGGATTTATGATTTAAAGATATTTATATATAGGTGACCATCATTAAGGTATTTGAATTAGAAAGATATAGAATTGATAAAATTAAATAAGAATTAGAATATAACTAATTTAAAAATAGGTATATATATCGATAAATAAATAATTGCATATTCTTTTGTTAATCTTAAATTATTTTCGTTGGGGGATTAAATATCCGTGTCTTAGCTAAAACATATCTATTCATTCTTCTAAAGTAATGCATGTCGCTTGCACGCGGCGATACTAATTATAAAGAAGGTCTTTTTGCGCCCGTGCACGTGGTATCCCATTATTCGAATTAATTCAAAATGATATTTCTTCTTCGTTAATGTTGATGTCGTTTTCTAACTTTCAAAAGATGTATATCTTCCTGCATATGATAAACCCATGCCATTACCTTGTAATGATGATCTATTTCAATATATAACGTATCGCATATCTCTTTCATTTCTTCTTTCATTATGAATAAATTTGTCCCCAACTTACTTCTCTACTCCCTCCATCACCATTACATACGTCCCTCCGCATCCGCGGCGCCGTTGACTCGCAATCTGCCGACCATGTGTTTTGTGCCGCGATGCCCGCCAGAAAAAGAGACACTCGTCTGGCGGCTGCTGGCTTTCGTCCCCTTCTCAGATATATATATATATATATTTCATTAATATTGAATTAGGTATAATTATTAATTATGAGAATATATCTTTTAGATATTATTATTAATTTTTAGATAATTGGAGATAATGATTATTAAATTAAAGATTATTAAAATATACTAAATAATATAATATTTGGAATTTATTTTAATAGTGTATTTTAAATAATTGTATATAAATTATATAATTTACAGATAATGAAAGGATTCCCATATTATTAATAATATATATTTTATTATATAATATTCACAAAAATATTTTAATAATTTATATCTATATATATTTATATAATTTTGATATTAATTGATATTTATTAATATGTATATTGAAAAACATATGACGATAGATATATATTATTAATATCGATTTCCACGACAATAAATCCATCGATTCATTTATATTATAGAAGAAATTCAAACAGATATCGATTGGGAATAATAGGATTAAACCTTTTTTGAGGAAGATGATATTGCGATGGATTTGATAATATTTATAATTCGAAATATTTTTTTCGATATATCAAGAAAAGAAAATATATATTTCGATAATCTAGACGATTATGCAATTCTTGCAATGGTTAATTAATAATAGATATTTATGAATCCGTATTCGTCACAGATAATATTATTATTCCCTCCAGGAGGGGATAAGAAATGCAAAAAAAACATCTATATAGAAAATATTAATTTATCGATCTTTATAGATATCTACGATTCCGTTGTTAAGATTTTTTATATTTCATCGAATTCGTTATATAACGATATCTATATATCCATCCATATGTAATCATTCAATTATCACTATCTATGGTGGATTTTGATCCATTATATTGTATTCCAAGAGAATGATATCATATTATCCGAATCATTGCCTTAAATTAGCATAACACCTGTATCCGTGAAGCACGGCTTGTGTGGAAATTGAGGATATTACGGCCTGTTGCCTGTTGGAGGATATTTCTAACCCTCAGAATTTATCCATAAAATATCTCTCTGCCCATCCAAATGTTGGTTGACCTTTCATCGAATTGGTTGTAAAGAATGATATCTATATATCCATTCATATCTAATGATATAGAATTCTATTTCTATATATATTGGATTTATGATCTACGGAATTATTTTTCAATGATGTGATGTCATATCATCAGATTCATTGTCTTAAATTTGCACAAGACCTGTATCTATGAAGCATAGCGCTGTGGAAATCGAGGATATTGCGACCTATTGCAGGATATATCTAAAAATGAATTTATAATATTTCGTCTGCAGAGCACCCAATTGATGGGTCTTTCATCTGATTTGATATAAATAATGATATTGATATCACGTGTATTGAACGATCGAATTTCAAAAGATCCTGAATCAGGACATTATTTTTTCAATGGAGTCTTGTCATATTACCGGAATCATTGCCTTAAATTAGAACAAGATTTGTATCTGTGAAGTACGGCTCTGTGGAAATTGAGGATATTATGGTTTGTTGCAAAATATTTCCAATCCGCAAAATTCATATATAAAATTATATCTGCAAAATACATATCCAAACAACCTATCCAAATATTGTTTGTTCTTTCATTTATTTATCTATATATAATGATAATTATATTCGTTATTGAAATGATCATAATTTCATGATATCTTATAATATCTTCAGGTCTTGAGACCCCTGGAAAAGACGAAGAAACGATTGCGACAACGAATGATTCAAAGGTTCCAATCGCCCAAAAAACGGTAGCAGTGGGGCGTGAGCCCCCTACAAACCCGGCGTTGCAATGTGTTTGTATAAGTAAAAAATTGTTGTATGCAATTCATTTTATCTGTTTTCGTCTTTCGTTGGCAAAAGTAGAGCCTCATAGCTCTTTTATTGATAAATTATGGATTTAATAATAAATAAATAATTCGTCATTTTGGAGGAAATTGCTCTGAACCAAATAATAAAAATTAGAAAAGGATACCTCTCTTCCATTCCTATCAATTTGAATATTAAAGACAAAATATAGAACACCAATATATCCATTCATATCTAAATATATAAATGTATATCTATATATATATATATATATATAGTATTTCAAATCCACGAAAATATACCGAATATTATCAGAATCATTGATTTATCATCGAAATTCAAATTGCAATGAATGAAATGAAGGATTGCAAAAAAGAAAATTAGTTCAATATTCGGAATAGAAAATTCAAAACAAATTAAATCAATAATCGGAAATAGAAAAATCGAAAATTCAAGGAAATATGGAATAGAATTATAATTGTTATTGGAGAATTGCACAAAATAGACGTATATAGACCCGGGGAATCGAACCCGTTGCCTAGACCGTAAGCAAGTTATCTATAAAAGAAATTACGATAATATATATATATATGTTTAAGAAAAATTATTTTGATTAATTTTGCAAAATTTGGAAATAATAGAATAATTTCGGTCTCCGCGCACAAGGACTAAACAATAGAATTTAAATATGAATTCGCAAAAACTATCAACAATTATATATACATTTTACACATATACCGGTTTTTCTGAGATTTCCAATATCTAAAATATATTCAGAAATTCATTTGATTATATATTTCAAATTTCAATTTATATATATATATGTATAATATAAATATTTTCAATAATATAAAATTATATATTTCAATAAATATATGTTTGCAATAAATATATAAAAATATTCCAATATAATTAATAAAAATCCGATAATTACTATATATTGTTTAACAAAACAATAAATATCTATATAAATCCGGGCGTCGATCACCGCGCCCGTCCTAGCCGGATTCCCGAAGATAACTAACGAGTGCGTCCCCTGCCGCCGACCTTTTCCGATCGACGTCCGGTCGATTTCCCCCCTTGTATTTTACGACAAATACTATGTATAATATTCACAAAATATTATATTTTTAGATTTAATGTGCATAACAGATGTAACATATCGATAACAAAACGATTCGTTTAGACCAATATGAATCAAAAATCGGTTTCTGGATACGCCCTACTGTCACCCCAAAAGCAAATTGCTTAATCAATAAATGTTTGTCGGCATTGACATCGCTATTTGTTCGGCCACACTCCTCTCCAATAGGCCGGGCCACAGAGACCAGCTACAGACGAGTTCAGGGGCGCGACCAAGACAAGGACAAGAAGAGGACAAGGCCCAGCCACAGAGCCCAGCACAGAGGACAAGAGGCTGACAAAAGCCCAATAAGCCGTCCATGCGTGAGCGCGCCGTCCATAACGCGCGAGCGCTCGCCCTGCTCTCTTTATCTTTCTTTCTTTTTCTTTCGTTCTCTCTCTCTCTCTCTCTCTTTCTCTCTCAATTTCTCTTTCTTTATCTTTCTGTCTGCAGAGCGCGCTGTGAGCGCGCCTTTCTGGAGCGTATTTCAGACCGCGCAAAGTGCGCCGTCCGAAGCCCACGATCGCGCGCGGGTTCGGCCTAATATCTACCTCTCTCTCTGGCTAGGCTCTGTGTCCAGGCCTTATCCTCCTCTTGGCCGCGCCCCTGAACTCTGTCAATTCTGTGGCTAGGCTATGTGTTTGGGATCTATGGTTGGGCTCTGTCGCGCGCGCTCTGACATACGCTCCAGAAAGGCGCCCTCAGAGCGCGCTCTACAGAGAGAAAGACAGAGAAAGATAAACTTAAAGAGAGAAAGAGAGAGAAAGAGAGAGAGAGAGAGAGAAAGAAAGAAA